TACAACGTTTTAACGTGAGATTAATTCTAGGTTAGGTTAGGAAGAGTAAACTTCGTGCGAGAAAGCAAAAAAGACACATAAAGAAGAATCAATGCGTTTCTTTTTCTTTTTCTTTTTTTCTTTTCGCATCCCTGCAAGACGACTATTAAATGATTTCAACATGTTGATAAGATAATCGAGTATCGCGGCTATCCCCACTCCTAAACACTGTCGGCTGTAACACAACGTTTTAACGTGAGATTAATTCTAAGTTAGGTTTAGGTTAGGTTAGGAAGAGCAAATTTCGTGCGAGAAAGCAAAAAGACTAAAAAAGAATCGCTGTCTTCTTTCGAGTTTTTTATTCTTTTCTTTTTTTTTTTTTTTTTTGTTCGCATAAATTCGCATGCCTGCGTAGACTACTTTTTCTACTAGCGAAAGATCGACGAACGAAGATGCTCGACTTGATCAAGTTGGCGTTGTCTCTTCCCCCGTTCGCTCGGCGAGGCTTACAAACTCTTACTTTCCCGATTCAACTTCATTGGGAAAAGTAAATCTGTTTCTCGTAGCACGCAGCGTTACGGCGTTCGCGATAATATCTGGCGACTCGATTCGTTCATTCGATTGTTACCATAACGCGATACACTAACGCCGAGGCCTCGCGGTATCGCCTCGTTAGACCTCGAGCGTGCAAAAGGTGAACAAAATAACCGGAAACGAAGTTTCGTGCGACCTAACCGAAAAGAAACCGATTAGAATCCCGATAATAATAATAATACTGATTTATTCGTACATTATTCGTATTCGATCTATTTTTTTTTCTCTCTTTTTTTTTTTAATTGACAAAAATCTTCTTCTCTCCGCTTATGTCTGAAGACATATTTCTCAAACGCTTGGAAAGACAGACAGAGCGAAATAAACCGAGGACGAGATTCGTGAAGTAATTTCCTTGCACACACTCGGTGAATTGTATTTGAACAAATTTTCTCATTTTTACATGTCACTCACGCCACTTGGCCATTTTTTCCTTTTTTTTTTTTTTTCTTTCTTTTCTTTTCTTTTCTTCTCCTCTCCCTGTACTGTTTTTTTGCTACTCCTCGGTTACTAAGGACGATAGACCCAGTGTCGTTCGAGAAACTAGAAGGTTACCGGTTACTCCTGAAATAATTGCCTCCTTTGAATTAGCATTACAAAAGAGGAAGGCGGTACGTATGCGAGTACGCGCTTGTTAAGACGCCAAGTTTTATTTCGCTATCTGCCGGCTATTGTTTCAACATCGCTATCCGCTCGAGGGGGGCCCTGGTGGCTGTGAGCTTCCCTTCTCCAACCGGCGGTGCCACAGGCACCGACCGATCGCTGGAATATTCCAAATACACGCCGAATATTAACGAAATATACATATATACACGTATACGTCGTACATCGTCGAAGTCAAAGTTTCGACGAAGAATTAATAGGATAATTAGGAATCTCCGCGGATGAACGAGGGGGGAGGGGGGAGGGTGATCGTTGCGAGACCATGGACTCGTTCCATAATGCAGGGAACTTTTTAATAGAGCTACGTTTGCAATAACGATCCTTCTCTCCGCGTTTCGTACGGAGCAGGTACCATTTTAATAACAATGGCAGTGAGTGCTGGTAGTAGTCGAAAGTTTTTAAAGTTATATATTTCGTGATATATCTCTAGATCGTGTATTTTTTTTTTTTTTTTTTTTTCTTCGTCACGACGAGGATTGAAAAAAAGACGAGAGGGGAGAGGAGATAAATTCGAAAGTTACTGTCGGCGGTATTAAGATAACCGTGGTAATTGGAACTGAAACCACGCGCAACCCCCTGACAACCCCGAAGCTCGTTACGTTACGTCGTGTGTGAATAGATCGTTAGTCGAGTAAAGAAAGTGGTATTTGTATCTTGAAAAAAGAAAAGATGAATGTTAGATAAAATATTTTCACTGACGAAAGAGTCACTCACTGTGTGTACGAGTGGAACAAAGTTCCATTAAAGTATGGTTGTTAGGTTGTCATAGATTTTTTTCAGTGACGATTAAGCAGTCAATAATCGAAGAGGACACGAGTGTAAAACGAGTCGTTTCGAGCTCGTGTATTATATCGAAACGAGGGAAGAACTTACTACTCGCGAAGGATCGAGAGAGAGAAAGAGAGTGAAAGTACGTCATTATAATACTCATCGCGGTTTGCCCAAAGGATTAACCATAAATTGCGCGTCGCATCAAATGCCAACCCGGCAACTTAATGACTACCGTAATCATTTTGAAAGTCCGGTGAATCGGTGAACCGTGAGAATGAACAAGATATCCTTCTCTCTGCTGCTGCTTCGCCATTGCGTCACAAAGACGACAAAGACGAAGGAGGAGGACCGAAGGAGTCGAAGACGAGCACGATCAGGCTATTTGTTTCTTCCGACAGCCAGGCTGGCTGATTCGAATGTCCGATTGAATGTCACTGAGCCACGGCCGATACCGTGACGTGCCGATCAGTTTCGAACTCTCGTCGGTCGCCGGCGTAATGGAAACCCCATTACCACGGCCAGGGATTTGATTAGGATAATCGATTTCACGGATAATCACGGGCTACGAGCTCTCGCGCGGAGAGTCTCCCTCTCCTCCACTTCTCTTCTTCGATTCTATTATCGCGTAGATCGAAGAGCACAGAACAACAGTTCGTCGTTCCTCGCTGGATCTCGAGTTGAAGTCGTTTATCACTGATTGACGTGCGAGTCGGACGAGCGTGGGAGGATTGCTAGTCACGATTAGGTCACAAGGAGTCGCGATGATTTATTCGCTGTTTAGTTTCTTCCTTTTTCTTTAACTCTCAGTTTAGAGGGGACGATTCCTAGGTATCTTACCTAGGTGGAAATTTATTAAAGAACTATCGTTATTTCTATGAATTCGAGTGACTCGTGAATCACACGTTAACCCTCTCAATTATTTTTCAATTTTTTCTTTTTTTCTGCGGGGGGGGGGGGGGGGGGGG